TTGAAAAACGTCAATGTGTGACGACTCGGGAGTGAGAATGTGTTGGATAACAGAGATACGACTGTACAGAGGTGCAGAAAAAAGGTGGATTTTGCTTTAATAATTTCTTCCCTTTCAAACTAAAAGTTCACTCTGCTCTACGTAAAACCATGAATCTCCTTAATAAGCTGAATTAAACTTTATTACCATATAAATATGACACATTTTTATGATGTTTTCTGTTTCCTCTCCAAAAGGTTTGCAGCTGAACTGACCATTAGCAGTACTTTTATCACAGTTGATCACGATGTGTTACGACTCTGACCTCTACGCTCATAAAGATAAAAGTTTAGCTGAGTGTTACAGACGACAGCGGGGTTGTTTATGCTCAAATGTCCAAATAAATATGTTGTTTTCATGACCAACCAGGCCTCTTTTAAAGGGACTTCTGTGATTAAATGCAGATTTTTTTTTTTTACAGGAATTCCTGAAGTTGCAGTGTGTCGGTGTAAAAGCTGTTTGAGGTTACCAGATTTACACTTTGTGARCGTTAATGAGGCAGCTGGAATTCATGTGAGAGCAGCAAAGCACACGCTGTGTTCCTCTTACACAAATTATGTTAAAAATGCTTTTAAAACAACAAAAAGCTGCGATGAGTTATCGGTCTGTGGGGGGATATAGATTTTTATTTCCAGATGGATGCACTACAAAAACTATTTTGAGTTAACGATGGAAAAAAACAACTGGCTCAGAGAGTACAAATCAATACTTTAAAGCGTTCTTTTGTGTATTTTAAAGGAAAAGAACTGGCGAGAGCCCATCCACCTGATTGGTGAAACGTGTCTGCCTTATGGTCGACGCTGGGAGTGTGTGAGGATATGAACTGTTTAAAATATTGCTTGAGTTATGAGTTGTGTCTTAAAGAGAGAAGAAAACAAGAGAAACAAGTGATTTATAAAGAATAACATGTGGCGTGATTAGAATTTATGGTAGTTCAATCGAAATGAATCCTATGATCCTGATTCATTTTGATTAAATATGGCTTTTCATAATCMTTTTTCTTTTTTTACTTTGATGGAGAAGTCCATTTCTCCTGTGTATTATAATGAATTAGGATCAGTGAGTTAATCAAATAATTTGAATCTTTTCCATGTCACTTTAGATGCCAGAAAAATAAAAAAATAAAAATTAAAAAAACGGCAAATTTTTGATGTTAAAGCTGTACACCAACAGGGTTCATCACAGTGAAACATGTTTGTGTGCGTTTATAACT